GTGTGGTCTGAGGACCTCTGGGGGTCCCCCAGACCTGCTCAGGAGTCCTTGAAACCAAAATTATATATTAAATATTATCAATATTGAACACTAAACAATATTAAAATCCCATCAAATCATCATGAGAAGCGGTAGCGGCAGCGAATGAGTCCAGTTTAATTTTTAATATGGTAAATTTCGATCAATATAACCCATACCAGCAAAAGTTCTATCATTTTTAAAAGTGGGAAGGGGTCCTAAGGGAAAAGACGTTTAAGAAATGCTGCCCTAGTCAAACACCAAATAGCCATCTCAGACCAGGTCCGAAATGCTGCGAAAGTGATGGTGAGCCTATCAAATCCCTGTAGATTTTAAAAAGAAAAATAGAAATGGGGGAGAGGAAGAATGCTTAAAAGTCTGCAGTAGAGGGCACAGAGGGATCCTGGAGTTGAGGCCCAGTGCCATCCAGGAGAGAATCAGGAGAGGTTTACCCAACCCATCCTTTTTTCCCCTCCATTTTTCATTATAATCCTAATTCCACCTAAGGAAAGGCACAAATAAAATTAGACCCCATCAAATGACAACACAATGAGAAAAAGCAGTAATAAGACATAGCTGTCCAGTTTCTCTTTGAGAATGCAAAGGTGCAAGTCTGCTCCAGGGGCCAGCCAAAACCTCTCGGCCCTCCTCCAGTTCCCCTTCTTGTGTAGGACGTGCACTTACTTTTGAATTGGGAAACGTTTCACTGAAGAACGTCGGCAACCAGGAAAGGAGGGTGAAGAAAGTACTAGCTGCACACAGCTGAGCAACAATCACTGCCCTGGGGAAATTCATTAGCAGATTCAGATGAGCAGGAATATGCAGATGCCACAATTTCTCAAGACCTATTGAAAGGGCCATGGCTCCCAGGAAGAGCATATATGCTCGCTCCATCCATCCATCCAATCTATGCATCCATCCACCCACCCACCCCCCATCCATCATATCTGTCTGTCTGCCCATCCATCCTTCCATCCAGCCGTCCATCCCATTTATATAGCCACCCATCTAATGAACATGACTTGGGCGGTGTATAATAAAAAAAACACCAGACCTTAAAAAAGAAACAAACATCAAAAGTTATTCCATCATAAATCTAGGTCTTCACTGCACCCCCCCGTTATGTAGACCTCAAAGGACATCACCAAACTTTGGCTCATTTTCAGCTGCACAATTTTGTGGGTCAGAGTAAAGATGGGAATGGCTATGCTAAGCCTTTGCAAAGCAAAATGTATCCATCCCCACTCTTACTCTTCTCCACTGCTACCTCAGTATCTGGAATGGCCCTTTGTAAGGGCTGATCCGCATGACCGTCTTGCCCCAGCACGAGTATGGGCCACTGACTTTTTCTCAAGAATGCATAATGCCATCCTCTATTTTCCCCCAACCTCCACCTGTCTTTTCTGTCCTGCATCAAAAGCAGTGTTTTCTGAGCTGTGTGGCTTGGGCTGTATTGTACAGCTCACCTGCCACACTTTATTGTCACTATAGGTCAGTGTCTCTCAACCTCAGCAACTTTAAGATGTGTGGACTTCAACTCCCAGAATTCCCCAACCAGCATGCCAACCAGCCAACCAGCATGGGAGTTGAAGTCCAGACATCTTAAAGTTGCTGAGGTTGAGAGTCACAGCTGTAGGCAAATGTCTCCACTCTGACATAGTAGTAGACATAGTAGTCCTATGTGCTATGGCAGGAACATCCCCTCCCCTCCAGGCACTGATCATTATCTTTGCAGCATTTTTTTTTAACAAATTCACCAATGGAATGGTGAAAAGCTGGGCTTTTTGTTATTTATCTATGTTCACAGATGGGAGAGTGCAGTGATGGACCTGCCTTTTTTTTTAAGTTCACTGACCAACAGTGAAAGAATGGATCTGGCTTTGTTTTTAACCAGGTGAAATGGACAAATGTTTTGCCACTTTCCCCTTCTAGCACAAGTGAAAGGAAACTGGTAGAACTGTGGTGTTTCCTTCCTTCCTTCCTTCCTTCCTTCCTTCCTTCCTTCCTTCCTTCCTTCCTTCCT